AAGCAATAGTTGGAATAGAGAAAATGGTAACAAAATGTGAAAAAATAAAAAATAGAAGGACTTTACCACGAATGTGGAAAGATTATGATAAGCAAATGATGTTTTATAGACCTAATGACATATTTTAAAAAAAAATATCTGGGTTTAATAGATTAATTATTATTCAATACAGATTTAAAAAATTAAAATTACTTAGCTTAAAATATATACTTGAGATTTCTTACTAACAGCATTAGAACTATTATTCTATTATAAAGATAGTATTAGCTACCTAATCTAATTACTCAAAACTTGTTATCTGAAATAACCTTTTCTCTAAGTATCAATACCTTAAAAGTTGCTTCATAAAATCAATAAGTACTGCCAAAAGAAAACTATAAAAATCTGATCAAATAGTATATAAATCATAGTTAAAAGTTTTAAAGATAGAATTTGTAGATTAACCTGAAATATAGTTTTCTTTTGTCAATACTTAGATATTTGAATTGTTCTATTTTGTGAGTTCGTAATTAAATCCTTTTAATAACAGAATGATATTTTAGATAGAACGATATTAGTGTTGGGATAGATTTTTAATAAACTTTTTTTGATGCATAATGTATACCATTACACAAAATGCATGATGATCATCACGTGCAGAGAAAAAATCTTGGGGGCGAGGTGTATAATTTTATTTTTAGCAATATATTGTAGAGTTTGTAATTGTATAGAAGATAACTACTATATACAGTCTAACCTTATTATAGTCACTTTCAATATAGTCACAACCTTGTTATAATCATACTATTTTTTTGGTCTAGCTATTATAAAACATATAAAATTTGACCTTTATTTAGTTACAATTTTTTATAATCACTAAATTTTTTTTTCTAATCTAGTGATTATAATAAGATCAGACTATATACTGTATATAAAAAGATAACTATATTATATTAGCTAAATCATAATATCTAGAGTTTTTTTTTCGGTATTAAGGTGACCTCTATGGCCGGGGGCTTTTTATTAGATAATTAACAATGTTTACAATTATGATAAGGGTACAACTAGCCACATATACAACTTTTGGTTATCTATTTAAGTAGTCTATTCAAGTTCTACACTAGCTGCCATACTTGCAATCTAACTAGAAGATTATCTATTTAAGCTCTCTGGCTTTTACAAGTAAGAATACGACTAGCCATACTTGCAACTTTTGGTTGTCTATTTAAGTAGTTTGCCTAAGGTTCTACACTAGCTGCCATACCTGCAACCCAACTAGAGGATTACCTATTTAAACTCTCATATCTAGAGTTAATTAATCAAATTGCTTTAAATTATATATATATATCTACTTGTCTAATATATAACTTGATTAAACCCAAATCTAGATGAGTCTTGACCACTCTAGTAGGTTTAGATTGTAGATAAATTAGTTTGAGCTTTTATTATATTTATTTGTTTGTATACAAATTAAGTCTTTATATAGTTTTTATATAACTATTTATTTAAATTATTTAATAAAGATATGAGCAAAAACTTATCTTAATATCAAAAAAAAAAAAAAAAACTTAATTAAATACTATTAAACTATATATTAAATATTAAACTATTATTCATTATCATATATCAACTCATTCTGATGATCTCTCACACTAACTTTTCCAAAATGCCCAATCTATGAAAACTATATAGTTACTATGTTTAAATACTACAAAACTTTACTAATAATAGCTAGAATTAGTAGTTATTCATTGTATGTTAGTATAACTGAAATAGAGTTAAAAAGAGTCTCTTTTGTAAACAAAGTTCCTTCATAGAAAACTCTGGTACTACCAAACAAAAAAGTAGCAAACAAACTCTGAAGCTTTGTTAAGTACTATGGAAGCCTTGGCAAAAATAGCTACTTAGATATATTATTCTGTATAGTATAACTTTTACTATCCTCTTCAAGTTTACTACCTTCTATTCTCTTTTCTATCTCAAGGTTTTTTTGACAAAAAGTAGACAATTTGGTTTGCTTTTTACAAGTGATCGACAATATTTATACAAACTAAATCGGGGACTAGAAGTTACGTATCCTTCTTTACACATGTTCAGAATAAACAATATATATACAGCATAGCGGGCTTTCATTCTGATTGGCTAATTTTTGTTGATTATTTCATGATTTTACAAGATCTGATTGGCTAATAGACTTATTCCAAGAACAAAAGAACAAAACCCAAAGCAAAATATTTTACAAAATATTACTATATTAATTGAATAAAAGATACATTTATTTAAATTTAATTATTACAATAATTATTACTTTAATCTGATAGTCATTATCATATATATAGTATAATCTGATAGATTTAAAAAAATTTGATATTTTAAAATTTAAATGATTAATTAGATATATATATATATATAAAACTAAATTGCTAACAATAAATAATAACAAGAAAAATAATAACTGATAATTAAATTAATATAAATAAATTAATAGTAAACAACTACAGATAAAAAGTACACAAAACTTAAACCTATTTTTTACAAGTCTTTTAGTTTTACTTATTAGAGTACAAAAGTTGAAGCCAGTTTTGACTTTCATCAATATCAAAATCTATAAGCTTTGTCTAACAACTACAATCTAAACATACTATTAATCTTTAAATTAAACTCGCTTACTAGAGATTTAACTATAAAAAAAAAAGCTTTAATATTTCTTTCATTTTAGAAATTCTTATATAGTATAAGTAACAACTGAATTTAAAAAAACATTTTATAGCCAATTCTTATGATTACTTCTCTATTTTCATAATTATTTTGATAGTATATAGAATAAAAGATGTAGTTTCTGAATATGTATTCGGTTCCTCTAAACAATTCATTTTCATGGTAGCCAATTCGTTTAAAGTCAGATGATATATATAACATATATATAACAATACATTTTAATAAGGGAATTGCTATTTCCACCCCCTATTTTTGCTAATGCCACCTCCTAAATTTTAAAAAATGCTTCGGAAGAGGCATTGTTATTAAGAAAACTCTCCTTTTGATCTTAATAAAAGTTGTTCATCAGGCTTTTCCGGTTCTAAAGTAGCAAAATCATTAAAATCGGACCAATAGATTTTTTTTAAAAGCAAATAAAATTTAATTAACTTCGGATATATATATCTTAGGAACTACTGGTCTGAATATAATGATTTTACTTCTATTAAAACCAGAAAGACCTGATAAACAACTTTTATTAAGGCCAAAAGAAGGATTTACTTGATAAAAATATCCATTTTGAAGCACTTTTTGATTTCTGGGGGTGGCATTAGCAAAAATGGGGGGTGGAAATAGCAATTCCTTTTAATAATTGACCAATTAGATTTAAAGACCACTATGCTTATGTATATATAGTACATTAGTTTTGAATAATGTAAAGATTTTGATACTTAGTACTTTATAATTTTTACTAGGCTACCATAGCCAAACTATACACTGTACATTTTTTTTTTCTTTATTTGTATTTTCTTTGTCTCCTACAAGTTGTGCCTGTCAAGGCTACTTATTCTTTTTTTATCTTTGTCCATTTATGTTAGAATCACTTTTAGGACATATTTTTTCTCTTCTTTTATATGGTTTTTTTTTTCTTCTTTTTTTTCTCTCTCTTTCTAAATGGTTTTTTTTTCTTTCATAAACATGGTATTTATTTTTCTCTTATATAGAAGTAAGAGATAAACTATTCTGCCTGGATTTAGGTGAAAGAAGTTTTAAAAAAAGAATAGGTAGTCTTGATAGGCCAGCAAAAACCTTCTGTTGATATATTTTTTCTTTTGATTGTAAAAAGGAATTTTATAGAAAAAAATCTTTGCTTATAGCAAATCACACATAGGTGTCCTTAGGATAACCAGATGAGCCAAGACTTGTAATTTAGGTGTTGATAGGATTAGTCCTTCGAAAAATGTTAATACTTCTTAGTATAATATTAATTATCCTAATAAAGTTGAGACAAGATTGCCGAATTTTCAAAAAAAAAAAAAAACTATTATTGTGTTACTAATTATTAGAGATGATGCTAAAATTTAAACTTTTTTTAATATGAAAATTTAAATTTTTTTGAATGTTTTTTCTAAATTTTTTTTTTTTATAGTTGGATTAGAATTTAAGGTTAGGATTTATAATACAGTAGATAGGTTTTAGTAGGATTTATATTTTTAAAAAAGACTTTAAATTTCATCATCCGATTTCCGACATTAACTTATCTATTGTCTATTCCACGTAAATGATATTATCCAATTTTTAATATACGTACACTAAAAAATTACGCCTATATGATTTAATAAAAATTTTTTTTTTTAATAATTTTGACCAGAATTAAGATGACAATTATTTTAATCTTTAAACTTCTAAAATCATATTTTATTCGCTAAGAATTCTTGGATTACGAATGCCTCTAGTCTTGCTAGCCACTTACATGGAAGAACTTTGGATAGGAAATAAAAGGTAAAAGGTTAGCATAATCCCAGCACGTAGAATTATGGGGTTAAACGGCTCGGATTAAGCCTACCTCGAGGATAAAGTAGTAGTCAAAATTAAAGTATTGTATATTATATACACAGTCGCAATAATTAATAAAGACCACAAGACCAAGAGGTCGCTTATAAAAAAATTTAAAGAATTCTTACACTGCAGTCCATACAACACTTGTTATAATCTTTAAATATACAATTTATTCAATATCAATATAATAAATACAATACAATTCTTAATCTGCAGAACAAAGCCAGAGTATAGGATCGAAATTTGTACCACGTGATTATCTACCGGTGAACGGACTAAATTTAAATTCTACACTCAGGCCTATCTGCCTATCTATAAGCTAATCCCGCTAAATCAACATACAGATTTATAATAATATATAGAAAAAAAAATAGATAATACTTAGAAATAGAATCATCAAGAAAATCAATTTTTAACAATATATCAACTAATTCAACAAATAAAAAAATAAAAATAAAAATAGCATTACTGCTTTGAAACCTAACCTAAACTCTAAGCGCCCACGCACTCTCTCCATCCTTTCTCTCAACTTTACAATTTTTTACAATCTCATCATCACATGCTAATCTAATGATTTCAGGTGTTGCGGGTGAACTTAAAGCTACAGTTGCTCCGTTGTTATTAGATTGTCTGTTTTAGAGGCAATATATGGAATCAATAAATTTAGAATAACATCCCAAATTAATGAAAACCAGAATTCAAAAAATACCTTGCAGATTTAATCGCATCCCTAATAGCGAAGAACACCGAACTTCCTAAAAATAATGGAGGTTCGCCTACACCTTTACTACTGTGGATAGTCTTTAGATTAGGATATGTGGCGTCTTTCAATGTGTATATTCTAAAATCTTGTGGTATATCCCTGTATGAAACCAATTCAGAGATAGATTATTAAACAAACAAGCTAATTAAAAATAAATAAAATAAAAATACCTAAATCCAGGTAGTTTATAATTTCCAGGCCCTTTGGTAAATACATGACCATTTGGAAAATGCAATGTTTCTTCAATAGTACACCACCCCACACCTTGTACAAAAGCACCCTCAATTTGTCCCACATCAATTGCATAGTTTATACTTCTACCAATGTCCATACATAAGTCAGTTCTCAAAATTGTATGATCGCCTGTTAATACATCAATTTCGACTTCTGTACACGCTGCACCCATCGTAAAATAAAAAAACATTTGTCCTTCATTTTTATCCCAATTATAACCGATATCGGGAGTTTTGTAAAATCCATTAGCGGATAAATTTACTCGATCAAAATATGCAGCATGTACGATCTATATGTATTAAACAAAATTTTTTACTATGAATATAAAAAACAAATTGATAAATAATAAAAAATTTAAATTTTGAATACCTCCTTAAAACTTTTATCTGGCATTTTTTCTCGATACGGCTTTAATCTTTCAGCCAAAGTTTTACAAGCATTTGATACAGCATATCCGTTAATATCGCTACTAACACTAGCAGCTGTTGCTGAAGTATTGCCGACCAAATTTGTGGCAGTTTCCATTAAATGGACTATTTATATAAAGAAATAATAATGAAATTATATATTATAAATTTATAGAACTCTATTAGTAGGGATGTTAACAATCCGGTCTGGTTCAGTCTGGTCAATTTGGTCCAAGTCTAGTCTGGTCTATTATGGTCTTCAGTCTTAAGACTTTGCTAGTCTAGACTGGTACAATCTTAAGACTTAGAGCAGACCAATTTTTTTAGGTCCAGACCGGTCTTAAGACTAACTGTGGTCTATTGGTCTAAGACTGGACCTCATAACATTCCTATATAGAACAAAGTGCAAATATTAAATTATGCATACCAGTTTCCAAAGGAACATCCAAAGTTTCAGCGGCAATCTGCAACATCTTGGTGTGAAGACCTTGTCCCATCTCAACTCCACCTACATTAGAAAAATTAGCAACAAACATTCATATTTAAAAACTTTAAAAAGTTCCAATAGAAAATCGTAAATACCATGACTTATAAGAACACTTCCATCGTGGTAAATATGTACCAGAGCTCCTGCTTGGTTTAAATGCAATGCTGTAAACGAGATTCCAAATTTTGTTGGTATCAATGCTAAACCTCTTTTACGCCATTTATGCTCAGAATTAAATTTATCAATTTCTTCTCTTCGTTTTTCAAATTCACTGTCATTTTTAACTTGACGATAAATTAAAGGTACATGCCAGTCTTTAAGTGTTTGGTTGAAATGTGTTTGTTGGCCTTCAACGTATAAGTTCTTTTCCTATTCGAAAAAAAGCATTCGTTAAATCAATGTAAATTAAAAAAAAAAATTTTATTACAAATTACATACCCTAAAATCATTAACGTCAATGCCCATACTATCTGCAATCTCACACATTATATTTTCTGTAATCATCATTCCTTGAGGACCTCCAAATCCTCTAAAGGCTGTGTTTGAATGAATGTTGGTCTTGCAAAGATGTCCGATTATTCGTACATTTGGTACATAATAACAATTGTCTACATGTGTCATGCTACGCTCAAGTACAGCTACAGAAAGGTCTGCTGACCAACCACCATTATTATAAATCTGTAAATAAAATAATGTGTACTTATAGTGACTAAAAAAAAAAAAGTTTGAAAGGAATATACAAATAATATATTTTTACCTGGACATCCATTGCTAATAATTTTCCATCCTTAGTCACCCCAACTTTCCATCGCCCTAAGAAAGGATGCCTTTGTCCTGATATGATTATATCTTCATCACGATCTAGCATACATCTAATAGGTTTTTTAAGATGCCATGCGCCAACTGCTAGTGCTAGTGATAAAGGAATACTCCTTGTTTCCTTTCCACCAAACCCTCCACCAAGTCTTTTTACTCGGCACACAATTCTATTAGCATCAATACCAAGTACTGAGGCAACTGTAATTTGTGTCTCAGTAGGATTTTGAGTTGATGAGTGAATTTCAAATTCCTTGTCTTCGAGTTTTGGAATTATTAACGTAGCCTGGGTCTCCAAGTAGAAATGTTCTAAGACAATTTGAATAAAGCTTAGTGCATGGTACGAAAGTACTGAGTTAGTATAATAAATAATAAATTCAAAGAAAAAAAAACACACCTTGACCGCCAATTCTTGTTTCACCTGCACAATAAAATAAAAGTTAATAATTTTAAGAAAAACTTCTTAAAGAAATAGATAACATTTAAAATACACCGTACCTTCAAAGACAAAATCAGCCTCTTCCAGACCTTTTTCTATGTCTCCTTTTACAATACGTCTATTCACTGGGAAATAGCTATTGTTTTCAATCGCCTCTTCGATAGATAAAATATGAGGCAACTCTGAATAGTGTACTTTCACCAATCCCACTGCTTCTTGTGCGATTGCTTGTGTTTCAGCAACTATTAACCCGATAATTTGTCCTGTATAATAATGCATAATGCATCTGTTAATTATAAATTGACCTCAAAATAAAACGAAAAATTTTACAGTCAACTCTTTACTTGTAAGTACAATTTGTTAAACTAAACTGTTAGAATCCTTCGTATCTTAGAACATCGAAGTTTAGATGTATCAAGAATTGACCGTAAAATTTATTGTTATAATATAAAAATATTAAATCACTTGCCTACACAATTAACCTCTTCACTGGCGAAAACCTCTTCATCATGTGATACAGGCCCCCAAATATTACTTCCTGGCACATCCTTTGCTGAAAAGAAACCTTTAACACCAGGTTGAGCCAATGCTTCAGTTGCATCGATTCTATTAACAATACATTAATAAGTTTAGGCCAAAATAATCGTATTCATGGTTATATTATAAAGCTAATTACCCTAATATTTTTGCGTGAGCCTTTTGTGACAAAACCAATGCTCCATACAATTCGCCTTGAATCTTGGGTATATCATCTGTATACATCGCTTCACCAGTAACCTGCTTCATAGCTGATGCATGAGGAATTTGTTTGCCAACAATTGTTTTGTCTTTTCTGTTAAATAGAGAAATTTAAAACTTCCTATTAAATAATATATTCGCATCACATTAATAACGAAAATACTAGAATAGAAACAATAAAAATGCTTACTCAGCTTGTCCAACAATTTGAACACTTTTTGAAATGTTACGTTCAATTATTCCAACAAAATTTTCATCACAATCATCCACTATTATATTAGCAGATTTTGAAACATCGTACCAAAACTTGTACATAAATCCTACGACTAACGATTTACGATACGTTGCCATGCCACCAGGTGTGGAAAATTTCATTCGAAATTCCTATTATATCCAATCAAAAAATTTAGTTATAAATATAAATTACAATATTTAAATATTAAAAAAAAAGATTATTCACCTCACATAACTTTTCAAGAAGACCTTTTAACACATTTTGGTCACCCCACTTTTTGCCTAAAACATAATGTTCTGATTCGGGTGCTCTAACAGTAACCCAACTCATTCCTCCGAAAGCAAATGCAGCCTCTTTAACTTGATTATTGTCATCCAATAACACCGACAGTCCAGCATTTACGATAGCAATATCATCGTCACGTCTCTTAGCCTGTTTGTAAGCTCTATTATATTGTCCTTGCTTTGAACAGGGAATAAATATTTTTTCTAAAATTTCCGTTTCTTCACAGCAATTTTGCCTATATCCTGTCCAAAATGATTCAGACGAAATAACTCGATTTGTTGCTACCATAGATGATGGTTCTAAAGAAGAAAGGGAAAATAGTGTTTTTGATGAAAGGAAAATAGGATTTAAATCTGAAATCGGAGAACCAGTAACAATGTTTCCTGCCGGCGTGGCTACGTTACGGATTTGATTGCCAGCAAACCAACGAAGGTTTTCCAAAAGCGACTTAAATATTTGTGTTTGATGAAGCTTTAAAATTTTTGAGTAATCTTAGCATGATAATTCAATATTTAATGCCATAAAATTAATCAAAACTTTGTATTAAAAAAATTTTTCCAAACCTCATAATGTCCGAGCGCATCTTGTAAAATTTCTTGAAATTTCGAAAGACTTACATTTGCGCCAATCAATAATCCATCATCTGATTAAATATCCAACTGTGAATAAAAAAAACTTTACGCAAAATAATAATATAACAATAGAATAAAAATTTTACCCTTAAATTCACAAGTTTTCAATTCTGGTATATCTCCCACAAAGATTTGTACATTGTATCTTAATTTCTTGAACTTTGTCTCTATTCCAACTTCAGTGTTACCAGATACCAATTTTGCATATGGATATTTTGATTTTAGGTATAATAGTTGGTTCAAGTTAACAGGCCGGAACCATTTTGACTTTCTACCAGAAAAGTAAAGAGGTTCGAGAATGTATTTCATAAGTGATGGTGGAAATATTAATTCTTGAGTCACGTCATATTTTTTAAATTTTATCTTAAATGATTATGAATTGACATAATTAATAAAATTATATATCAGAATTATAAATAATTAATAAATACACGTACTTGTGGGAACTTGAGATCTAAAGCAACATCATTTTCGACATTTTTCAATTTACAACAATCGGCACGACCACATCCTAAATTCTATATAACAATTCATCAATTCAAGAGAAATAATATACGTTTTTTATATTTAACTCATATACTTTTATACCTCCGAAGTTTCATAATCCTTAGATGGATTAGCAAACTGTCAGAAAAAATAAAAAACTTTAATATATGGGGTTCCTAGTTAAAACAACAGATTTATAATAAGAAAAAATAAATTACCGATTTTGCCGCATCTAAAATAGGGCGATATCCTGTACATCTGCATAAATTACCTAAGAAAAAATAATAAGTTGTTATATAATCAAATCTGATGATAAGTAGGTGGGGATGTTAACAGTCCGGTCTGGTTCAGTCTAGTCAATTTTTTGGTCCAAGTCTAGTCTGGTCTATTATGGTCTTCAGTCTTAAGACTTTGCTAGTCTAGACCGGTCCAATCTTAAGACTTAGAGCAGACCAATTTTTTAGGTCCAGACCGGTCTTAAGACTAACTGTGGTCTATTAGACTAAGACCGGACCACATAACATCCCTAGATGTAGTTGTAAATACCATCAAAACACTCTTCAATTTCTTTCTCAGATGGATTAGGATTATTTCGCAGCAAAGAATAAAGTGACATTGCTATCCCTGGAGTACAAAACCCACACTGAGAACTAAAATCAATATTTTAAATATTCAGTTTTACTTTAAATCAAATAGATTTTTAAAGATAAAATTGAAATTAATTACCCATGTAATAAAGCTATTCGTTCCTAATAATTTATTTGTTAATATAATGCTAGATCCTAAGTAAAATTCGATATGATAATATATAAGAGACGAATACCTGAACAGGATGAGGATTTTCAACGTTACCAATTCCTTCAATTGTAATAACATGTTTGCCATCAACGGAACATAATGGCGCCAAACAAGCGTTAACTGAACAATGTGTAATTTTATCGGAACTTTTGTCATAGGAAGATATCATTACAGTACAAGCACCTATTGTAATAATAAAAAAAAAATTAATTATAATTGAATTTAAAATTGTAGGACGCAGTAAAGAACTTTTAACGCACCGCAACCACCCTCCGCACACCCTAATTTTGTTCTAATAAAAATTTCTATTAATTAACAATATAAAGCTTTATAGCAATATAAACTCAACATACCCAGTCAGTCCAACAGATCGAACATACTGGAGTAAGGTAGTGTCAGGATCGGGATTATTAATCTCAACACTTGTACCGTTAAGATAAAAGTGAAGTTTAGTTTTACACTTCAAATCCGACCCGTTCTCGACTATGAACTCATTCGCACCATCTACCAAATGACCATTCGACTCAATTAATGTTGACTTATGTTCTTTCATGTTTTATGTACTCATAAATGGTGAAGTTGTCACTTACTATACTGCAGGAAAATGGTACCCCTTTTATAAATACTCTAAAAATTAATTGTAGTTATCTTACTGGAAGAACCCGAATATTATCGTTATTTTTGATCTTTACGTGAATGGTCTGTGCGTCACACGAGGTGATAACAGAATATCGGAATTTACTGGATTGGTCAATTATCCTGCTATCGTATCTGTACACCATCAGATAAGTCATATTTCTTTAGAATTATCCGAACGCAAGTTTTTATCGTTAGCATTAGTGCAGATATGCATTGAGATCTGAGAAACTACAGAACTATTTGCAACTATATAACGATGTTGCTCAAACTACTTGGGGCGTCCCAAACCATGTACGTACGTATGAATATTATAACATAGATTCGATAATAAATAACCAATGTGATACTAGTCATCGCATGGTTTGGAATGTCCCAAGTATTTTAATTGGCTGAACTTAATGATCGATCCCAAAAGGCTAATTCTTGATTAACAAAAGCTTATTAATGGTCTGTTATCGTTATTTCATTATCGCTATTATTTTTATTAGGAATTTTTTAGATTACCTATACATTGATCACAAGGTAATTTTATCTAACTATATTTATATAACTGCCCGGATCTTGTCGGCTACTTCCTTGTATCAGTATGTTTATAAACATTGTAATCATATCAGTAACGTAATATATACTTCAAGGATATTTAACGACCAACATGAGGTTGGTTCCAACGTGAGGTCAATTAGTATTTTTTATGATTACTAATCGTTGGTTGCGGACTTTAAATGCC